CTTACTTGAAATGTTCTAGTATTCAAGAAATTCTGAATAAAAAATTGGTAGGTTGCCGCGCAAGCCACTCTCGTGAAGATCCCGAAGTATACCGTATCTCCATGCCTTATCATAAGCTTTCTCAATGTCAAAGAATATCGAGACAAGGTGACTTCTTCTTACGAAAGCTTTTCGAATGGATGTCTCTAAAGGAGCATATTATCTACGGTAGTTCTTCCCCTTTCGAAAACCGCTTTGATAAGGCGATATAATATTATTCTTTTCCAAGAAGTAGACTAGGCGGCTGTTTACCATCTTTTCAAACAGTTTGCATAAGGCAACTTGGCCGATAGTTGGAGGGATTCCTTGGATCTTTCCCTGGCTTCGCAATAGGAATGACAACAGCTCTCCTCCATGCACTGGGAAAAGGTACGCTCCTTCCACACTCTATTGTAAAGAGTGAGAAGGGCAGTCAGTGACTTATAGGACAGATGCTTTAGCATTTCGTAATTCACGCCATCCAAGACCCGGAGAAGACCTATGTGTCTGCAACAAAGCTCTCTTAATTCCAACATAGTAAAGTCTCTATTGTAAGGCTCAGATTTGGAAGAGTTGAATGCGATGGGATTTATTTCAGAGTGCTGCTTGATAGAGAGAAATGCAGGTGAATAGTTTCTGCTGGAAGAAACGGCAGCAAATGTCTCACCAATAGTATTCGCAATTTCTTCTATGGAGCTAATCACTCGGCCATCTTTTTCCAAAAAGGAAAGTGAGTGGTCTTTATATATGCCGCATGCTTTTCGAACTCTTTCCCAAACCCGCTTACTAGGCGTGGAGGATGTTATTGACGACACATATGAAATCCAGGAATCCTCTTGGCTCTGCCTTCCTTACTTTTCGTGCATTTGCTTTGGCTCTTTTAAATGCTATGAGGTTTCGCAGAGTAGTAGGATATCTACGAAAAATACCCCATGCTTTTTTCTGTTTTTTCAGTGCTTCATGACAGTCGCGATTCCACCACGGTTTCGAATATTTAAGTATTTTTTCCTGATGTTCTAGGAATGGAAAGCATAGCTGCCTCAATAATAGTATTTGTAACAGCTTCAACAGCATCATCGATATGCACATCTTCTACCATTTCATCTGTGAGCTCTGCAATGGAAGAGAAGAGTTCCCAGTCTGCCCTATCCAGTATAAAACCGAGGGAGTCTCTCGACATGGGGTTTGCTCCTCTTCGTGCAAGAGATACAAAAATGGGATAATGATCGCTGTTGTAAGATCATTTCCGACACTAAAAGTGCAAAATGGCAACAGAGATGGTGAACAGATGGCAAGGTCGAGAGCGTGGAATGTCCTTGAAGGCTCATGGAAGTAAGTATCCTGCCCATTATTCAGGAGACAAAGGCTATGATCTTCGATCATCTGCTCAATTTGTCTTCCTCGGCAATTTGTATCTTTACTACCCCAGAGCGGACTATGGCCGTTAAAATCTCCTATTATGATAAAGGCTCAGGCAGCTGCTCTAAAGATCATTTAAATCTTGCTGATCAATGTGCTCATTTGGAGGCAAATAAAGAGAAACGACTGAAACTACAATATGAAAATTTACTTGTTGAGTAGCGACAACTTGGAGGGATGTCGTCAAAGGAAAGGAATTTGAGGGATAGTCCAGTGAGGTGAGGAGACCTACACCTCCACTGGCACGCTCACCTGCAAGGTTATCCTTCCTGACGAGAGAAAACCTCCGAAGTTTTGCATGTTGATCTGGTTTCAGATTTGTCTCTTGTATTGCGAAGCACACAGGATGATAAGTATTGATCATAGCTTTGATGTCAAGGCAAATTTCGGTGGAAACCGCGACAGTTCCATGAGACGAGGGTGGCCATTATGATTGTTTTTTTTTCTGTGTTCCTTTTTAGTTTTCGCGGGAGCAGATGTTTTGGGAATTTCCATTCCTTCTTCCACTTCCATACTATCTGAATCCGGGATTCAGATATTAAATCGTCAATTGAACTATTGCTCGGCTTTCTATTTTTGTTAATGTTTTTTGGAGGCTTGTTTTTTTTTGTTTTTTGAATTACTATTTCTTTATTTTGGGTTGTGTGAAGTGGGTCTTTCTTGTTTTTGTGTTAGTTGAGGCTCTTGGCTTTTTGTTGAAATGAAAGATGTTTGGTGGCTATAGTGCTTGTGGATTTAACGGCATGGCAAATGATTTGTTTGATTGGCGACTTGTGTGCTTTGAACTTGTCTTCCTGGCTTCGGCATATGAAATTTCCTAGAAACTTTTATGGTCTGAACTTCCTTTTCAGATTTCCATTTTGGACAAGAGCGAGAAAATGCTGGGTGATCACCCTTGCAGTTAACACACAATGCGCAGCGGTGCATTGCAATTCTCACTATCGTGGCCAACCAACGAGCATCTGGCGCACGTAAGGGTGCCACGACAGGATGTCTTAGAGTGACCAAACCGCTGGCATTGGAAGCATCGCATTGGGTTGGGAATATATGGTCTTACGGGACAGTTAAGATACCCAGCCTTTATATTCTTCGGCAGATGAGGCGATTTGAAGGTCAGGATCACGTGTTTCGTGTCAATCAACTAACCTTCCTTTCGCATCTTGATCCGCCTAGCACCACAGACATTTTGGTCAGCTAACTCGGAGACGAACTCTTCTTCTGAAATACACAGAAGGTCGATCTCCGAGATTACACCTCTACAGTAATTAAGTGTTTTGCGCGCTGATGCAGTTATAGATACCTGTCCAAGTTTGGTTTGTCGTAAAAGTATACGCAAACTGAAGCCCCACAGTCGGCTTTCCCGAAAGCAGGTACTCCCGAGAGCTTGACCCCAAGCCACTGACACAACGACTAGTGACCAGCCGATTGACACCCGTGAGGATGACTAAGGTGCCTCCCGTTTAGCTGAAGCAGAGGCCAAAGTAGTGTGTGTTGGGGACAGTACCTCGCCCCTCAACTACCAGGACCCTCCTTTCCAGCGACACGGGTCTCCACGCACGGCAAACACGTGGGCAGTTTTCTCGCCACTCGAAAACTAGAGACAAGGTCTGTTCCAGTCTCTCGTGACGAGCCCCAAACTCCGTAGAGAGAAACCACAAGGGAGAAGGGAAAGGGAAAAGTTCCAGCCAAGAGGAGAGGAGACGGAAAAGAGGATAGATCACTGGGGCTCCAGGATCGTGACACCCGTCTCACCAAGAAGATGATCCCCTGAAGGGCTAGGGTACCTCGGGATTGCCACACCCGTACTCACAAAAGTGAGCCGAGGGTATCTGTATACAAGTTACACAATGACCAGCTTAAATAGTGGTCAACCACTGCGAATTACACCGCCATTCTTCTGTAGGCATTCCAGCTATAGAGTGGCTGAGGGTGAAACGTGAAGATACAGCGGCCGAGAGCATCCCAAGATTTTCAATGGTATTAGGTCGAGCGAATATGCTGGCCATGCCATACGCACAATCCCTTCACTCTCCCGGTAGTCACCAACGATGTCAGCTCTATGGGGACGTGCGTTATCGTCCATTAAAACAAAAGTAGGGCCAACTGCTGCATCGTACAATCTCAGAATGTGTTCGAGGATTTCATCTCGATACCGGACAGCCGTCAAAGAACCCCATTTAAAGATGTGCAGGTCGGTGCGGTATCCTAATGAAATCCCTGCCCTCATCATAATGCTTCCATCTTGGAATGCGTGATGTTTGATGATGTTTTGGGACTGTTATTTTGGCTTGTTTATTTGGACTTGGCATGTTATTTTAGAAAAAGTTCAATTTTGTGTCAAAATACATATGTTAGAACAATGCTATATATAAATTTAATATATATCCTAAATCGCTCTTTCGAGACATGGAAAATGCGTTTCAATAATCGGTCAAGCAGAACTGAAGATACAGAACTGTCCCACCTTTTTCTTTTTCTTTTTCTTTTTTTTTTTTTTTTTTCCAAGGTGTACACTCAGGATAAACACTGAGCACACTAGTCATGAATTCTGAGACCTGAGGGTTAAAATCAAATACAGAATTTTGTATATCTGTTTTCATAAATTTACAATTAAAAACTGGATTTTTAAGAATAAAGTTATTACATACAAACTATACTTTCACACTGTAGCCAACATAATTACAGATTCTCTTAAGAAATATTTTAAAAACATTCATATTTTAAATTCTACTACAAACATGCTTTTCAAATTTAAAACACTTTCACGTACTTACTCTACAGATTGAGAAATAAGATTCTGCTGGTTTCCAGCTTCCTGAATAGTATCAAGGGAAGTTTGCGAAGATATGAAAGGTTTTCCCAGTGTACTAATAATGGGATCATGAACTTCATCTCCTAAAACCTTACCATTTTGTTCTGCTTCAAAATCATTTTTGGCTTTTTCTCCCTCTACTTTGCTATTTTCTTCAATATTATAGTTCTGAAGGTTATGACTATCAACAATATCAGATGTTTCAATGGATTTAACAGCAACTTCTGTACACATATTACTATCATCTGATATGCTTTCACTCGGCACAGATTTATTGTCTGTAATTTCATGCGTGTCGGATGGAGCATTACTTAACTTCATGATTTCAACATTTGACTGTGAATTTATTATTTTTGTTCCTGATGATAATAAGCTTCCATCCTCACTGCTATCAATGGCAATTGAAGCATCAGCCATAGTTTTCTCTTTATTCAAGTCATCAGCAACGATAGTATTTTCATCAGTTGGTGTCTTTTGATCAAATGTTTCAGATTTTATATCAGCAATCTCTGTAAAAATAAATGTTTAATAATAAAGAACACATGCCAATTAATTAATTATAATTCAAATTTGGAAAAAATGAATGAAATTTAAATATTGTATCGTAACAAGAAATACCAAATTAAATACAATTAGCAGAATGAAACAATACACATTAATTGTACCCACATACATGCATAAATAAACACATTATTTAATATTCTCTTTTTTCTGAAAATATCTAAATTCATCATGTGATGCAAATGAAACATTTAGAAATAGTGAGCCCAAAAAAATGATTATATAAATTTTAAAATAGTAAAAATGGTACAGTGTGCCCAAAAAATTAGCTCTGTAACACACACAAAAATTGAATCTAAAAAGCTTACCATAGGTTACTTTTAACCTTCTCTATTTATACTAGTTGGCAGCACAACACAAATTAATCCATATATTTTAACTGTATAGTTTTTAAAGACACTCATTTTTCAAAATCTTCTAGATTTTTTTAGGATATAAAAGGAGTTGTTTGAAAAGAAATTTTTATGTTATTTTCTTGGCTCTATGCTGATCTCTCTATTCTATATTAGTTTTAAACTTTTACCTTGAAGTTGCCTAAAATCGAATGACGAACATTTGGTGTGCTTACAGCGGGATCACTGAAACACCACGCCCAGAACAACACTGTATCTTTGTTTTTCCCTCCAGTATTCTCTTCGGTGAGCTTATTCACAACAGAAAGGTTGGTGCGTATCTATATTTAATTTCCTGTTTTCCTTTTGCATTTTTTCTTTGTTTTGGGTTTGTTTTTTGAAGGGGAGGTTTGGTTATCAACGAAGAAATTGTTGGAGTGTTTCCCTGAAGGTCAACGGTCATCTTATCAGTTAGCTCTTTGATTTTTCACTACAGCAGTTCTCTTTTTTCCTTTTACTTTCATTGAAAGAAGTTTTGCTAGCTTTATGTTTTGATAGTTTTGGGTGTAAATGTTTATTTAATTTTATTGTATAGTTTATATTTTCTTAATTGTAGATATAATATTAATTTATTTTTCTGATTTTGTGGTTATTTATTATGGTTGAAATTAAAAGGGGGGATAAATACATCCCACCATGCATGTAGGAAATGCTGCTACTAGATGGCAGCACCATTCAATTTTTTTTTTAAATTCAAGTACCCTGTTCATTTCATGTATAGACAATGCAAATTTATATTTTTTAATAAACTGCAGTAATGTTAAAACTTGAAAGAAATTAAAATATAACCCTGTAACATGAAATGTCATTGAATACTGAATGGATATGTGAGTGTGATCCACCATAGAAAAATATCCTAAGCAGAGGAAAGAGAGGTGAAATGTTAATAAACATGACTGCCTTCTAAATATCTTCCTTTTTGAACCTGTAGCAAATAAAGTACTCAGTTTCAAATCTATTATGAAATAATTAAAAAATATCTAAAAAGTCATACAGGGAGGGAGGGACATTTTTTTTAAAATTGTGTAATTTTTTTTTAATATTTTTTCGCGAATATAATTAATATTTTCTAGATAATTATTCAAAAACTTTTTTATATCTTGCATTTTCATTTGGTTGATAAAACTTCATATAGTTTACAATATTTTCTAGATAATTATTCAAAAACTTTTTTATATCTTGCATTTTCATTTGGTTGATAAAACTTTATATAACCAACCAAATGAAGCACTTTATATACGCATGTTAGGAGAATTTACACTTGGCCAAAGATGGCATTTTATTGCTCCAGATGAGCAGTGGGACAAGCGGTATCCCACCACATTATGAATCACCTTAAAGTTTTTTTTTTTTTTTTTTTTTTTTTTTTTTTTTTTTTTTTTCATGAAATAACATTGCATAAGAGGCTAATTATCTGTGTGTAAAGTTAATTTTTTTTTCAAAAAAAATTTTTTTAAGCACCGAAACTCAAAGGGTTAAAGAACTATCAGAATGAGATCTTATAAAACCCAGTCACAGCGAATGAGCACATCCTACAGTATGTGTTGCAAAAAAGAATGATTGTGTTAGATTGTGCATAGACTTCATGCTTTTAAACAGCTTTAGAATTCCAGACGCCTATCCGATGAAGATTGCTAAAGATTTACTCTTCGAAATCCGGAAAGCCAAATTCATAACATTTCTTGATTTAACCAAGGGTTATTGGCAAATCTCAATGAAAGGAGGAACCAAACCTTACGCAGCATTTATCATTCATTCTGGCTATTACCAATGGAAAGTTCTTTCATTCATTTGAAATGTGTCGCAAGTACCTTTCAAAAATCCATGGATAAGGTACTTGCAAACCATAAGAACTGCAGTTTATACATTGATGATGTGGCAATATTTTCTGAGACTTGGGAAAACCACCTCCATCACAATGACCAAGTGTTTCAGATGAGAAAAGTAGGTCTAACCACAAATTTAGAAAAATGTGATTTGGGAAAGAGTAACATGAAGTTTCTAGGTCATGAAACAGATTCTGGCATTCACTCTTCAGATCCTGAGAAAGTAGAAGTCATTTAGAATCTGACTAAGCTTATTACTAAAATAGAAATCAGAAGTGTTTTAGGGATAGAAAGTTACTACAGGAATTACACCCCAAATTTTTCTGACATAGTTTTGCCTCTAACAAATTTTAGAAAAAAGAGTATTCCAAATATCTCGTGAAACTTAAATGGAAGCACCTTTCAACAAGCTTAAAGAGCTAATTAAAATGCCATCCCTCCATACTCTTGACATCGACAAGCCCTTTCACTTCTATACAGATGCCTCTGCATTTGCATTTGGAGCATATTCAGCTCAAAATGATGAACATAATAGCAAAGAAATGACCATAGCATTTTTAGCAAAAATTGACCCCGTATCACGACGATGGTCAACAATCGAAAGTGAAGTGCTTTGTATAATAAAAGCCTTGAAAAAAATTTAGGTTTTTGGTGCCAAAGTGCAAATTCTGTCTGGCCACAATCCCCTCACCTGCTTGACCCAAAGTGCCCCTCATGGTGCTAAACTATCTCGTTAAGCCTTAGTGTTACAACGTTACAGCATGACTGTGACATACAGCAAATGCAGTTCTCACAGAAATGCTGATGCCTTATCAAGGTTAGCAAAATTAAATTATAAAGTAAACTTATTTTCACTACACAAATTTAAAATACTTCCAATAGTATTAACTTCTGATAGTATGTATGTGTTTTATATATATATACATAATTTCGTATTTACTTTTTAATTTAGTATGTGTTCATTAAATCATTTTATTTTGGGCAGCTGCATATTTTGGAGGTCTCACTTATATTCAATTGTTTGAATAGAAACAGAGTTTTTTTTTTTTTTTTTTTGTGTGTGTGTGTGTGTGTGTGTGTGTGTGCTGTTGTTGTTACTGTATTTTTGAGACTCTTTCTGTCTGAACACTGAGCAGCATTGTCTCTTAAGGTGACAAATATGCTTCTCATGGAGGGACTTTTAAAGATCATGAAATATAAATAAAGGAAACAGAGTTACGGTTTTCCAGAATGGTAACATCAGAATAAAAAGATGTTCTAAGAGACTAAAGTTATGTAAAGATCGCAAGTTATAAATAAAGAAACAGAGTTATAATTTGCCGGAGTAGTAACATCAGAAAATGTTTCTAAAGATTCCTGACATAAAATTTGTACTAGTAGTATTTTTTTTAACCTGGAAGAGTTATATGTTTGTGTTTCTAAAGTCTAAGTCAAATTTACATAATCTTATCAAACATGGCTTTTTATTGACAAGAATCGAATTTTTTCACTTCATTGAAATAAAGTGTGAGAAGATGACATTTCAGCTCAGTATGAAATGATTAAAAGGGACAAGAAAGTTTTACTAATGTACACACTAGAAGTAACAGCTAATGTACAAGTTTCTCACAACAGGACATTTTTGAATGACCAAACCATTGGCACTGAAAGCATCGCAAAGGGTTTGGTATGTAAGGTCTTAAGGGCAGAAGTATCTGGCCTTCATTCTCTTTGACAGATCAGGTGAACTGAAGGTCAGGATTATATGTATAGTATTGATCAACTGACCTTCTTTGCGAATCTTGATCCGCATGGCAGCACAGACATTCTGGTTAGATAACTCAAAGACTATTTCCACTTTCGAGATGAAAAGGAGGTTGTTCTCTGAGAAAGCACTCCGACAATAATTAAGGGTTTTATGAGCTGACACACTTATGTTGAGTTGTCCAAACTTTTTTAATCCCAGGACAGTAACAAATTGGACTTAAGAATGAGTTTCAATAAGGAGGTCTCCAGATTGCAGCCATTTGATATTTTTTGGCTCTCCAACAGATGACTTGACATATTTTTGTATTAGAAAAAGGGAAAGCTTTTTCAGGGCACCAGTAGAATTATTTATTACAAGAAAATGGGGTGGACAAATTTCGGCATTAGCATTAACATTTGGTTTCAACATTTTTTTACGATGAAATGTTTTAAACATTTGTTTGAGATTTTGAGACCATATTTGAAAGAAATAAAAGATTCAGACTCTGCAGCCCCACCCATCATAGGGGACAAGGGGACACAGAATCCTGCGCCAGAGTTATCTGTGTATATGCAGTCTGAAGCCCCACAGTCAGCTTTCTTGAAAGCAGAACTCCCAAAAGCTTCTCCCCAAGTTACTGACTCTAACAGCAAGTGACAAGCCAATTTACACTACTGCGGACAGCTACAAACCTCCTGTTTAAATCTGAAGCAGAGCAGAAGTAGCATGCTGGAGACAATACTTAACCTCTCAACTACCAGGACTCTCCTTTCCAGCTTTATAGGTCACACTGCACGGCAAATGTGTAGGTGGTTTTTCTGTCCATGTGAAACTAGAAGCAAAGCAATGTAATACTTTCTTATTTTGAGACCCAATTTCCAAAAAGGAAAACCACAAAGGCAGAAGAGGTAGGTAGCATCAAGTAAATAGCAGAGATAAGAGGAGATGAAAAAAAGAGAGAAGGAAGCATCACTAGGGCTCCAGGATCGTGACCCCCATCTCACCAAGAGGGTGACTAACCCCTTGAAGGGCTAGGGTACCTCAGGATTTTCACACCCTACTCACAAAAAATGATCCCTTGAGGAGTTTCCTAATTTAAATCTGTATTTTTATTATTAGGACTTGCAGCTTTTATTATATGTCATATAACAAGCAAAAGAATCAGATGAAATCTTTTAACTCCTTCTCATACAATCCTTGAGGCATTTAGCCGAAGATTCACTCCTTGACATATGAATAAAATTCAATGCACTTAAAAATACAAATTTATTTACTGCTATTGAAAATTTTTACAATCTTTAAAAAAAAATGAGGTTTTACATAACACTAATAACAATTTCATCACATTTGGGATGTATCAAGATCTATTCTGACATTAATAATAAAACATGAACAGTGGACATCACTGCGCATCAAAGGCTTAAAGAAACATCATGTATATTTGTTCCAAAAAAAAATAATAAATTGGTCAATATTTGGAAGTGCATTAAATGAAACATTTAAGAAAATATGAAAAAAAGAAGAGATCCTTCATAGGGAATGCAATAAAAACTGAAAAGAAATACGGAGTAAAATTCACCATGATTTTGACCTTGGTAAAGCATTTAAAAGCACTGTATTTATCACCTGCAAGAAAACATTTGATTGATGAGGAAGACCAACTGCATTCAGCTTGAAACATACATTTTAGATGGCACATAGTTAAGTTAGATGCAATGATGTACTCATTAATCTATGACAGAAAATAAAATTTTACACATCAAAAGAAGACAAAGGCTTTCAAAACTGGTTCTAACAAATGTAAAGTTTCTAAAAACGATTCAGAGTGGATGCAAATTTGGTCATAAAATAATTCAAAAGGATTTATAGTGGTTGCAAATTTGGTCAGAAAACAGGATCTCGAAACAAAATTTATTTTCCCTTATTATTAAACAAAAATCCGTATTTTAGCATGATATTCCTATACTGAATGGTGATGATAAAAAAAAAAAAAACCTGTCCTGCACCAGATGTCCTATCTGCTACATGGTAAATCCTTCAACCATGCATTATATTTGTATTAAATTACCAAAGAAAAGCTACCTTTACAAAAATTTAATAATGGAAATAAAATGTTTTGTCATTTAGCTACATACTTCTTAAAACTCCAGGTGTGTCTAAATTTACTAGGATGCAGAGCGTGAATTACAAATCAGCTTACAGACAGACCATACATATTAACATGTTTTAGTACTTTCAAAGTCAAATAAAAAAAATTAGATCATTACTTTTTATGATCAGCAAAGGATCATCAATTGGTTCACTGAAATTTGACATATTATCTAGTCCAGTTTCACTATCCATACTCAGCTGAGAATCCCTACATGCTGTAGATACAGATGATTCCTGAAATAAAATGGTAAGAAATAAACAAATGTACAAGTTGAAAACAATCATCTATTAAAATCTATTAAAATTGTTTCATTTATGCATAAACTAAAACCTTAAAGCAACTTTACATTAAACACACATATAATTAAACATTCACAAGATCCAGAACAAGGTGCTTCAGAAAGCTTGCTTAGCTGAATATCTTTTTATTGCCTTCAGGGCAATTAAAAGATTTTATATTTTCAACCCTAAACCTGACATTTCTGGCTTGACTTTATGGGGGGTGTAGGAAAAACTTTCTAGTTGTAACAAAAGTATTCTGTAAAAATACATTCCCCTAACAAGAAAGCAGTATCATTAGTCTGGGTAGTAATCACCACACATATCTCTGATTTTCTGCCAATGTTTTGGCAATTTTTCAATGCCTTTGGCCCAGAAACTATGGCCACGAGCCCAAAATTCGAACATCCTGCACAGAATGGAAGACAACACCAGCAAGATGTAGCTGCAGGTGTGAAAAAAAGTAGAAGACCGAAGGATCGATGTCAGGGCTGTATGGTAGTTATGGCAAAAGATCACATTCAAGCACGTACAGAGCACAGCCAGTGAATGCAGACACATATGGTCTTGAGTTATCTTGATGGAACATTACCTTCTTGCGCCAGAACTCAGTTTGATGTTTTCCTTGATGGCAGTGTCAACACAGACTAGCATCTCATGGTACAACTTACTGTCGAGGGCTTTACCTCTTTCCAGATACTATTTGAATATACCACCACAGCAATCTCACAAGAAACGATGCATGATATTTTTGTTAGTCAAATTGTGCTTTGCAACGCTGCCAATGGGCTTACTAGCAGCAGACCAATCCCTTTTTTTGGTCTGTGAAGTAAATCCAAGTGGCAATCCAGTCCAGAACTTTATCCTTGCACTGAAATTCGAGCAGATTAGTGTAGGCCCGAACATGCCTGTCCATATCTGCTTGAGTCAATTCATGCGATTGAACTTGCACATCAAGTTTATTTGATGCATAGTGCAAATAATAAACATGGCACTAATGTCTAACTCCTTAGAAAGCTCTCAAGTGGTTCCATACTGGTCTTTTACCACAAGTTCTCACAGGCAGGCCTCATCAACATCAATACGCTGGCCAGAGTGCTCCACTTCTTGAATGTCACAGTCTTTGTTTTCGAACTTTCGGTACCAAACCTTCACACTGTCATATGATACATTAGTACCTACAGCTATACACATGATTTGGTGACATTCTGTAGCTGACTTTTCACAACAGAACTGGAAGTAAATGATGATTCTAATCTGGTAGTGTCACAGTTCCATTTCAGACACCTTGTACTTAAATTATGTTTTTAAAATTGCACAACACGGTGTTCTAAAGCAAGACAATTTCTTTCAAAAGCCAAAATATGATCAAAGATGCCAATGCGAACTGTTTGAGCAGACAATATTTCCTGTGGTGGGACACTTTCGTTAAAGCTGGATATTAAATTTTAATTTGATGTTGCATAATCCAAAACTAACATAGGAAAGAAATTGCTTGATTTTTTACCTTAAAATGCAATCACAGGCCAGCAACTAATTATTCAAGAGATATTTAGATGCAAAATATTTTCTCAAGACACAACATAAGTGGGAGTTTGAATATACTGAATTACTATAAAAGCTGATACAGATGAGCTTTCTGGAGAACAGATAGCAATAACACCTATGTATATCACTAATTACATCTATCAATACAAGTGACAAACATCTGTGAAGCTTCTTCAGCCATTTCCACCATGAGAATAGCAGGTCATTACCATTAAAGTGATTTCCAACAGTTTATTTATTAGAACTACAAAGATGACTCACACCATTTTGAAGACAAGTGAAAATTTGAGTTTTATATATGTCCATTTCAAGAATCTACCAGGATTATGATAATTCTGGCAAAACCTTGAAACTATAACAGTAGTGTGACCATAATAAGACAAAGAAAAAAAAACACCATAGTCAGTAGTCAAGAAACATTTTATGCAACAGACACGCAACACTGTTGTTGTAACTCCTCAAGAAAAGGAACAGAAGCTTCTTTGTAGTCATAAACTAAATAGTTTATTTTGTAATAAGACACTTTTACTAACTTAGAAGCTTTACACAAGTTATAAAACATTTTCTCTAGTCTCGCTGTCATGGATGCATACAAAATAAAAATTCAATTCTAAAACCGATAACAATGAATATCGATATGCAGCAATTATCTTAACTCTTTCACAGTCATCAACAAGCTCAGCTCGCTTTGGACACAAATGAAAACAGCTTGCATTAAAAATTTACGACTAAGAGATATCACCCATTTTTTAAAAAAATGAATTGCATTATCTCACAACTGCCAAAAGGTTAAATAACAACATAATTCAATCCTTGGCCTGAAAAACATCATGGTGAGGATTGTGCAATGTTTCCTCCATGAAAGGGCTTTAGAAGTCAATGTCCAGTCCAGCCACCTCTAATGAATGCATAAAAATATAACTCTATGCCTCGAGTTCAAAATCTCCAACACCGCACACTTCATGACTTAACAACAGTAGTGTGATAAAAGGCCTGATTTCATGACGTATGCTTTCCATTTTTACACAGATGAAAGGCACTACAAAAAGAGAAAATTCTAATCAACTCATGATCCCAACATGATTCCTGCATGCAAAAAGAGCACTTACTCTGCAGGCTGATTGGTGGCTTTATACTTAAAGAGGCTTTCTTTAACCACTTGCGCTACGACCAAACTTCACAGTTGCGGTGCCGTGCGCTACAATATAACAAGCGGTAAAGTGTCTCATTTACGCCGCTATACATCTGCGAGTGCAATCCAGAGCTGTAACTCAAGAAATAAACAATCTCGTTGTTAGGGCGATGTGTGCACCACGTTATTTTCATTTTTGTGATAAATGGCTATCGACGTGGTATTCGCGTTGCTCGCGGTTTGAGACAAAAGCATCTCGACGTGCTTGGCATGTCTTTTTAGCGCAAGTGGTTAAGTGGCATTCATTGGGACACCTGGTAAAAATGTCTTTGAATATTAACACTATAAACAGTTGAACACTGTAGGCTGAACTACAACAATTCATACTGAAGGATATGGCTTCTTCGAGCAGTAATAATGATATCACACCAACTCCATATTTTTTCTTAGAGGTTTTTTCTCCCTGAACTTATGAGTGGCAGCTTGTGTAACTTACATTTTTGTTCTATGTTTGAAAATTAAAGATTTAAATTCCTTTTGCCATAAAATAATATTTTAAGTACAATAAATCATTTCATCTTCTTCAATTCCTGAATCACACGAATGCTTGTGGCATATTTTTGTCCAATGGTAAGTATAATTTGCTGCCACAAAGTTTACAAACACGAATCAAAAGAATATTCACCCAAGTTTAGAATCTTAACTCTTAAAGAGGCAGGAAAAGGCAATTAACTTTTCCAGCAAAACTCGTTTTATTTACTCTATCAGGTGTTACAATGAAATTATTTGCGACAATCGCACATATTTTGTCCAAAACACATGAAAAAAATTACCACTTCTGGTGGTAAGTTTCAGTGACCAGGTGCACATCGTTGTGATGTTGTCCTCAATGGCTGATGCTTATTTTCTTGAAGACGAATTGCTGCATCAACTACTGGCTTATGTTTCTAGATTGGAATGTGCTACAAGGGAACTTCAGAAATGGTCAGTCTTGAAAACCACTTACACAAGTGAGCAAGACGTTCAATAGGAAAGGTGGTTACTATAGGTAACCACAGCCCTTCAAAGAGTTAACAGGGCCCTGTATGCCACTGGATTTCTATGTTAATAAACATATCTGAGATGTCATGCAATATGCTGGGGAGCACAGAAATAATCCAACTGAAAGTGCAATAGAATTATAGAATGCTCTTCAAAAAGCATGGTGTTTGTTGCCTACAGAACACCTCAGCAAGTTTGTAAAATTCATGCCTACTAAACATTAGATTAATATACCAGCTTTACTAGTATATACAGTTGCTAAACATATTTATCAAATCGGTGATATATGGACTTCTGATATCAAAGTATTACATATTTTTAATCTTTGGCATCTGAACAAATAACCCAAAATTTAAGTACTGTAATTATTTTAAAATATAAGAAAAATAACATACAGATTCATCGTCAACTTCTTCAGTAACTTCCTCAAATACTTCTGCTTTGTATTCAACAATAAGTTCATATAAAGGCCTTCTGTCAGTTGCATTAGAAATGAATGGGTGCTGGAAAAAAGTCATTAAAAAAAGGAATTTTTAATTACATTTCCAATTTCCATCTTATTAATTGATGATACATATTTACAGTAAGGACTTCTTTAACATTATCTTCTTCGTATACTATTCCTAAAACAAGTTTATAAATTTATATTCCCGAACTCACCTTCAGCAGATCACCAGCACTGCATCGCATACATGGGTCTTTTACGAGACATTTCGTAAGAAACTGGCTAAACTCCGGTGACCTTTAAAGAGTTTTTTAAATATAAAATAGATTATACAATAATTTATATATGAGTTAATAATTTTCATCATAAATAACATTACCACTTGGATGGCTGATCCAAAGTGGGTGGATCAGACTTCTGTATTTTTAACAAAACACGCATGGGGCTCAATTCATGGTTAGGCGGTTCCATCTGGGCAAATTCTATTAAAGTGATTCCTAAACTCCAAATATCTGCCTTATAATCATACAAATTGTCCCGAAAGGTCTCGCACATGACAACTTCAGGAGCCATCCTAATTATGAATATAAAGAATAAGTAAATAAATATTCAGATGACTTATCTAATGGAAAGAACAGATTAAAAGTAAAAAAAAAAAAATTAATTCAGTACAAAAACTTTATAATATGCAGTATTATATATATATATAAAGAGTATGTGTATTATATATATATATAAGAGAGAGAGAGAGAGAGAGAATCTACTATAATCTATATCATTGGAAAATGCGATACATTTAAAGCAGAAATCAAATGAGCAACAAAACTAACTAAAGAGAGATAAATGCAAGAAAAACAACTGGAAAGGAATATTTCATATAACAAACAATGCAAATTTCATATAAACAAACTATAATATTAAAATGAAGTCTGAGAGAGCTTTATACAAAGACTAAAGGCAGGATTATAAATATTTTTTATTTTTAGATACTCATTTTTCAAGCTCACACTGACAGACATATGGAAAGAATATACTTTAATGTACAGATATGGTACAAAAAAAACCATGATTTAACACTCTCCCATTAATAAGACCTTAAATTTAAAGAATTTATAACTACATGTTGCACCCTCATATTTCTTAAATGTTGCAGGAAGCAGTTGCATATTTTGTATTCATTAGTTGCAGTGGCTACAGTTTTAAATTCCATAACGAGTGGCCAATGCCAATAAAAGGCAAGTGCCAGCCATTTGATTAAAAAAATTATAAACTCAATTTACAGTATTTTTGTTTTGAAGGTCAAACAGAACATTCATGCTCAGAAGCAAATGCAAATATGAAAAGATATAACTGTCTGTGTGAGAACACAGAAAAAGTTTAGAGAACTTTTCTGGACTTTAAGGCCAGCACCAAATCTCATGACTAAGGGGGAACCCTAACACAGGGGGGGAATCTTAAAACGGGGGAGGGAACCCTAACACCATCATCAATAATAGAAAATGGAAATAGGGTTACAATCTGCCAAATAGCAAGAAACGAAACCCCAAATGTGTTATTTCTTATCAGTTGTACAGGAAATAGTTAAAATTCTTTTGCATTCTCGTGTATGCATGTTTTGTCTCTTTTTTTTTTTTTTTTTTTTTACATTCACAAATTATAAAGAAGGTTCCATTTGCCTTTCAAAGGTATTTGAAAAGCGTATAGAACCTAATATTGCAAGTTTACTCCAATTCCTGACACTAATTAACAGTTTCTTTAAATTTAGTTCATTTGATGGTGTGTTCTTTATCAACAGGGCACCCCTTTAATGCCAAACATAAACATTAGCATGGAATCTAACTAGATGAAAATATTATTTGGTTTTATGAAAAAATGGCTATATTATTAAATCCAGAATGGATACACAAAAAATAAATTATTTTTTTCTAATACAAAAGATTTTATCCGATTACACAGGAGGCATAAAGCTACAGATTTATTTCACATTGCCAAAAACATATGCGTTTTCTTATGCAATCAATGCAAATTTGATCATGTATGAATCTAGATGGTGGCATGGAATATCACCCTAATGTTAATTTTTCTATTTTCAACTACAAGCTTCTAACTGTTTGCTTATGGCATCTTATGTCAGGATCCTTAAAGTTATTTCAGGGTTAAACAGATGTTTAGATCCAAGAGCTGCCACTTCATCCACTTTATACTTTCTACAACAATCCAAATGAATTATATTCCATGTTATCTTGTATCAATCAAAGTTTTCACCAAGTGATCAGACACAGCCACTAGGGAACATAGTTTTATTCCATCACAGATCCTACCAAATACTACTGCAGTGAAAGAACATGAACGACACAGTACTTTCTGTGAGGAAAGAGGTTTTCGTTCACTAATGATATAAACATGCTATATTTTGCATTTGGCACATGATTATGACTGAACCTTCTTATAACAAACAGAAAAGAGCCTTCTTTTGCCATATGTAGCATTTCTTTTCATTTGATTTTACAAATTGCAAACTTTGGTATAATTTCAATTATTCATTTCTATCATATATTTTTGGAATTTAATAAAAAATAACATTGAAAGAAAACCTCTGAGTTTTCAACCAAATTCAGGAATACCACCAAGAACACAAGATGTTCAAATTCACATGCAATTTTGAACATTCTTGATTCTTTTGACAAAGTATGTATTACCGCAGTTCAATAGATTTTAGTGGTAAAATCCTAGTATGGCCTTGGCACGATTTTAAAAATTGACATCAACACCAAATATCACCCGTTTAGTGCTCATCATAAATGTCCAGTTTGCTGCTCATCATAATGTCACCAAATCCCGTGTGTACTGTCTACTAGGATTAAACCTATTTTTGTATACGAGAATGGGAAGGTATTTTCTTTCCTTCAACATGTGCACACGATTCTCTCGATTCTCGAGGCTACTGAAAACTTGCTTTCCCTTTCAGAAAGACAATCTGATTGAAGCTGCAAAAACTGGCTCCCTGCCAACAGACCAAATGACACTCACGCGATGACACATTCGCCAAGAAAGTGATTGCTTTCAATGCTGGAGTAAAAAATCGCTTTTGAGGGGGGGAATTGCTGTATGAAATTCTCTGACTTTTTTAGATTTTGACTAAAATATTTTGATTCCCTCACTTTTTTAATCAGTTTTTGAATTCTCTGACTTTTTTAGGTTTTTCAGGTAGAATGGCAACCCTGATTTAAACAAAGCACTTCTTGTCTATCTTTGAAACCTGTTGGGTTTAGGTTCTTTTTTCCGCAAAATCAACATTTCACAAATTTGTATTTTTGACAGCAGAAAATCTTCAGTCATTTCTTTTCTTCTCACTGCAGTCCTTCAACTATCTGTCCCAAATCTAAGTTCATCCGCCAATGAAGGACAGATGAAAAAATATCAACATATATATTGATTATACCATCATATACCATTTATAAATGTTACCCTTGACCAAAAGTTCTTCAAATAGAGATTTAACAACTCTTTCCACATATAATACTGAAGTTTCTTTCAACTCTTTTTACTTTTCCCATATAAAGTTGCAGATATGCTTGTTTAAGTATCACATAAAAATAAAAATCATTACAAATTTTGTATGCTTCAACACTATAATGCTCAAACAAAAACATTTCACATGCCCAAGGGTATACTTCTCGATTATAAACCAGACTGCACACCCAAACACACAATGTTCTAGCAAAGGAGGATGAAAAAACCTCCAATCATATGCCTCATGCACATTTCCACAATACTTTAGCAAAAGAAGAAAAAAAAAAAAAAGAAGAAGAAGAAGAAGAAGAATAAAAACGCATGTTTAAAGAGCTTTCAGAAAATCTGAAAGTCAAGTCTTGAGTACAAAGCCAATTCTACAGGTATCTCACCTCCTATGGTGTTGTGCCAAAAATATTAGTTTCCAAAATGTTCCAAAACTCTAGCACAACAGTATGAAGGATGGAGGTAAATGAGAAAAAGTTGTCACATCGGTGTGCTGGTCAGAAAGTGAGTACGTCCCATGCTGGCACCTCTGCATGGCAGTCAGCACAAAAGAGTTAACGCAGTTAAAACAAAGAGGTAGAATGCATTACCTTGAGTATTCATTGCAAATAAAATTTTAAAATTGACTGGCAGAAAAGCATGCCAATATATGACAGAATGTGAATAGCAAAACATAAGCAAAACTTTTCTCATCAACAGAAATAAAAATCAAAGGTAAAAAAAGTCAACTTAGTTTGACAAGAAATTTTAAATAAAATTCTATCAGTTTCTAGGGCAAACAGACTGAACAGCAACTATGCCGGAAGAACAGAGACTTTGGAATGATTGTTCTCCTAATCAACATCACTTTTATTCAAAATCTACACCAAACTATGTTGCATTTTTTTTGTTAGTTTTAAAACACATAACATCTAAAAGCTGAAATGAATGACTTAAGTAACTATACCTATGCATGAATGACAACAAAGAGGAGAAATGTAAAGCAGCATGTAAATTTCAATTATTAAAATGTATATCATTTACAGAAAATCACTTGAAAAACTTCAAACTCAAGTATAGTAAGAGTGTTGCTTCCCAGTTTTCTGTGATCGAGTAATTCTCATATAAATTTATTATAATGCAGACAGAAATTTTCTTTTTTAAATTTATATAATTTAATTTTTTATACAATTTAATATTTTTTCCCCCTCTGACAGTTACACTACAAGATTAGAAAATTTTTAGCATAAAATTCTCTCTCTTTTATTTTAACACTACTATTCACAGTTCTTAATTATTCCTTCACATAAATTAGCAAAGCAACAAAACCTTGTGTTCGGCGTAGATTTACTCAAGAACTCTATCAATTTCGAGGGAAACAGGTACAGGTCCCTCTTCATTGGAAGCGAAGTAGTCCTGCAATGATGATAAAGGCACAGTTTTATTTATACCTAAGCAGAGTGAAGTGAATGAGAAGATGGTGCCCTCTCTTGGCAAAAATAGTAGTGAAAACTGACAAAGTAAGTTAACAGAATTTTAAAAGCACTAGAAAGGACTGGACTAGACTTAAAAGTCATTGACTAAAACTAAAGATAAATCTTAGTGAACGTGAAAAGCTTCAAGAAAATCCAATTCACCAATGGATGAAGCTTTATGGATAATTTTTGCAGACCTCAAAATAAAATTACAATTAAATTTCCAACTATGATTAGCTATCAAAGCCTTGTTAATTTTACCTTTTCGACATAAAATTTGTCCTCTTCGATGCAAAAGTTTAATGCTCTTTTAGTTTGGCCGGTATACCTCAAATCACATCAACAAGATATACTATAAATGCTCCAAGAATTAAAGTCAGAAATGGAATCTCTATGAATCAAATAATGGATTTTATTGATAGGTGAGACAATGAACTGAGAACCATGCAATTTTGTAACTAACAGAAAGATGAAATAGAAGCATGACAACAGTATTATTTCTAACAGCGGAATGTCTTCTTTGAAGGCAAGGTGATAAATTTTTAAAGAATTATTCAATGACCACAGGGGCAAATAATGAAGTTTATTAGCAAGAGCTAAT